CTGCGAAGCGAGATATTAATAGACAAAGTTGAGGGCGTATTAGGTTAGAAAATCTATCATATCATTTATCTCTAGTTATGTAACTGAGGGGCTTCGTCTCCCAGACATCCCTATCACGGGGGGTGGTGGCTATAGTCTCTTGTGCTTAAGCTAAAAAGTGTATTTCTCACAAAAGACTACAGCCCCCACCCCCCGTGATAGGGGGGTCTGGGGGGCGAAGCCCCCCAGTTACATAGCTAGAAATAGATGGTATGACAGATTTTCTAACCTAATACGCCCTCAACTTTGTCTATTAATATCTCGCTTCGCAGAAAAAAGAGCGACGATTTTGTCAGAGGAAAAAGTTGTTTGGCATGCAAAAACGCGTCGATTGAGTCTATTTTCATCGAAATTGGAGGTGTTGCCGCTAAACTAAATAATTACCAAAACCACAATTTACCGACGCTCTACATCACAAATAGTAATACAAAAATCGGAGTGAGTCCCAGATGCGCACATTGACAAACAGACACATCCAATCATATGTCGTTGTTTATAGAGTCTCTAGAATATCTCTAGGCATATGGCGTTGTGGTTGGATGTGATAAAAACGAAATAAAAACACAAATATTTTCTACAAAACTATTTTTTATTTCTCATCAGTTGCATATCCATTGCATAAACAAACGATACATAATTAAATGATGATAAAATAAACGGTGCACATCATTCTGTGTCCAAATAAACAGCAAGCAACTGAACGATGTCCAAGTGAACGGTGTCCAAATGAACAGTGCGCATCCTTCTGTGTCCAAGTGAACAGTTGGCGATTGAACGGTGTCCAAATAAACGGTGTCCAATTGAACGGTGTCTAAGTGAATTGTGTCCAAATGAGCGGTGTCCAAGTGAACAGTGTCCAAATGAACGGTGTCCAAGTGAACAGTGCGCATCCTTCTGTGTCCAAGTGAACAGACAAGCAATTCCACGGTGTCCAAGTGAACGGTGTACAAATGAACAGCACGCATCGTTCTGTGTCCAAGTGAACAGTGGGCAACTGAACGGTATCCAAGTGAACGGTGTCCAAGTGAACGGTGTCCAAGTGAACGGTGTCCAAATGAACGGTGTCCAAGTGAACGGTGTCCAAGTGAACAGTGAGCATCCTTCTGTGTCCAAGTGAACAGTGGGCACTTGAACTGTGTCCAACTGAACGGTGTCCAAATGAACGGTGTCCAAATGAACGGTGTGTAACTGAACGTCATGCATTTTCTTTCGTGTCCAAAAACAATGGTGCCCAAAAGTTTCGTGTCCAAACGCACCGTGTCCAATTGAACCGTGTGTCAAGTGCCGTGTCCATTTGCACCGTGTCCATTTGCAACGTGTCCAATTGTACTGTGTCCAACTGAATGCCACTCGCGTATAGCACTCACTTTCTCGGGGTTCGTTTAGGTTCCTCTATTATTGATTACGTGTCCTAAATATTTTAACTCCTTCATGCAAAACTGGCATTTTTTTCATTTACTTTTAATTTAGCTTCCCGTAATCTTTTAAAAACCTCTTTTAAATGAGTCAGGTGCTCGTTAAATGTTTTACTGATAATAATTATATCGTCCAGATATACTAATACCTTAGGTTCTAGCTCGGGGCCAATTATGCTGTCTCACAGTCGTTGGAATGTCGCTGGTGCCGAATGGAGGCCTAACGGCATTACTTTAAATTGGAAAAGCCCCTTCCCTGGTACCGTAATTGCTGTCAGTGATCGGCTCGCTGACGTCAATGGGATTTGCCAGTACCCAGTTTTCAAATCAATGGTAGACAAATATCGAGCCCCCCTGAGCTTGTCAAATGTTGCCGAGATATGTGGTAGTGGGTATGCGTCTTTTTCCGTGACGTTATTTAGTTTC